TAGAGGTTAAAAGGTCAAAGGTCAGAGTTACTGTGACTTGAAAAAGATATTTGTTTCCACACAATAACATTAGTTCTGAATCACAGACCTGAACATTGTGAATGGCTTGGATTAGGGAAGAAGTTTATCAATTAAGAGGTGAAAAGGTTAAAGGTCAAGATCATTGTGTGACTGGAAGAAGATAACTTATCTCCACAAAGTAACATCACGGACTGAACATTGTGGATTTCTTTCACCAAATTGGTTGGGTTGGAGTTTAACAGCAAAGCAATATAAGTAGACTGTTTTAGTGCCAAGGCAAATTGGGGTCAAGTGTACAGCACTGGCCAGGCTGAAACATTAAATGGATTTAAACCTGTACCCTTTTCGTTGTGTGTCATGCATGATGTCTGCAGAAAAACTATGGGTTGATTTTGTTGTCAGAAGTTCATTTGTCAGGGCAAGTTTGGCTGAAAAATGAAAAACGGTTTTGCACAAACATTTCTGACATTTACTTTATCAAATCTTATAGAAGACTTGTACCTTGAATTAGAAAGAAGCCAGTTGAAGGGGGGAAGGCTTAAAGGAGAACAATATATTTTGAATAATACGTTAAGGTAAAGTTCCCATAATTTAATCAAAGTTTGTGAAGGCTTCCACTTAAGGTAAGTAAGGTATGGTGTCAGTAGGATAAGATAATTGCACAAAATCTGTTCTAGATTTAGTAGTAATTGCACAAAATCTGTTCTAGATTTAGTAGTAATTGTACAAAATCTGTTCTAGATTTAGTAGTAATTGCACAAAATCTGTTCTAGATTTAGTAGTAATTGCACAAAATCTGTTCTAGATTTAGTAGTAATTGCACAAAATCTGTTCTAGATTTAATAGTAATTGCACAAAATCTGTTCTATATGTAGTAGTAATTGCACAAAATCTGTTCTAGATTTAGTAGTAATTGCACAAAATCTGTTCTAGATGTAGTAGTAATTGCACAAAATATGTTCTAGATTTAGTAGTAATTGCACAAAATCTGTTCTAGATTTAGTGTTAATTGCACAAAATCTGTTCTAGATTTAGTAGTAATTGCACAAAATCTGTTCTGGATTTAGTAGTAATTGCACAAAATCTGTTCTAGATTTAGTAGTAATTGCACAAAATCTGTTCTAGATTTAGTAGTAATTGCACAAAATCTGTTCTAGATTTAGTAGTAATTGCACAAAATCTGTTCTAGATTTAGTAGTAATTGCACAAAATCTGTTCTAGATTTAGTAGTAATTGCACAAAATCTGTTCTAGATGTAGTAGTAATTGCACAAAATCTGTTCTAGATGTAGTAGTAACTGCACAAAATCTGTTCTAGATTTAGTAGTAATTGCACAAAATCTGTTCTACATTTAATAGTAATTGCACAAAATCTGTTCTAGATTTAGTAGTAATTGCACAAAATCTGTTCTAGATTTAGTAGTAATTGCACAAAATCTGTTCTAGATTTAGTAGTAATTGCACAAAATCTGTTCTACATTTAATAGTAATTGCACAAAATCTGTTCTAGATTTAGTAGTAATTGCACAAAATCTGTTCTAGATTTAGTAGTAATTGGACAAAACCTGTTCTAGATTTAGTAGTAATTGCACAAAACCTGTTCTAGATTTAGTAGTATTTGCACAAAATCTGTTTTAGATTTAGTAGTAATTGCACAAAATCTGTCTAGATTTAGTTTCTTGACCAAAGTCTGTGGATATTGTGCACTTTGAGTGTAAAAGAAACCTACATATTTTTGGTATCATAAGGTGAAGTTAATGGTAAGTCTAGTAAAGACTTTAAAAACTGGTACTAACAGCAGCCTCACTTGGCGTTCAGCATTAAGAGGTTAGTGTTATGACTGGTTGGCCTGGTGTCAGGATAATGTGACTGGATGGGACATCAAGCCAAATGTATGCAGCATGATGCCCCAGTGCTAGACATCACTATAAAGTGTCACACTGCAGACATCGTAGCGATATGACTGGAAATTTTTTAAAGCTACGTTAAAAATCTAAATCACACACACACTCAAAAGCTGAAGGTAATGGTAAGTCTAGTAAGAAAATACTGGTAATGGTTTTGCACAATAAGTTTAGTTCAAGACTGGATCACTTAGCTAGAGGTCATTGAGATCCATTGGTCAGTATTATCCAATCAAGGCCTTCATAGAGGACTGTTGAAAAAAAGTTGGGCAAGCAAAATATAAACTGAATAATTGCCCTTTTGAAGGTTTGTGTAATAAAATTCTCTAGAATGCCACATATTACTGAAGTATTCAATTCAGCATATCAATATATTGAACATCCTACAACTAATCCCCTAATTTATTCAGAAAGTCCAAAATTGAAGTGGTTTTGCCCTTATAAATGGGGGTTCATTTGTCAAAGCAAAATTTACATTGGATTGCTCTGTTGGCCTAGTGGTTAGAACATCTGCCTCATGTGCTGGAGTTCATGGGTTCGAACACCAGCCAAGCCATACCAAAGACATAAAAATGATACTAACAGCTGCCTTGCTAGGTGATCAGCATTAAGAGGTTAGTGTTAGGACTAGTGGGCCTGGTGTTGAATAATGTGACTGGGTGGGACATGATGTTACATAGCATGATGCCCCAGTGCTAGATATCACTATAAACTGCCACAATGCAGACATTGTAGCGCTATGACTGCAAAATTGTTATAGCTATGTTAAAAATCGCCAACACACACACACAAATTTACAGTGGGTGTTCACTTCTCAAAGCTGAATTTTCACTAGGGGTTCATTCCTCAAAGTCGAATTTACACTGGGGGTTCATTTTGAAAAGCCAAATTTACATAGTTCATTTTGAAAAGCCGAATTTTGCAGGAAATTAATTTCTAAAACCCAAATTTACACTGGGGGTTCATTTCTCAAAACTGAATTTACATGGGACGTTCATTTCCCAAAGCCGAATTTATGCAGGAAGTTCATTTCTGAAAGCCGAATTTATGCAGGAAGTTCATTTCTCAAAGCCTAATTTAGACGGGGGATTCACTTCTCAAAGCCGAATTTATGCCAGAAGTTCATTTCTCAAGCCCACATTTACACTGTGTTCATTAATCGAAGCAGAATTTAAGAATTTAAACTCCTCTGAGTAATAGCCTTACATCTTAAAAGGTAAATAAAGACACATGGATGTCTAGTGATTATCAGTTTTGCATAGGATTTTAAAAGATAAATAAAGACACATGGATGTCTAGTGATTATCAGTTTTGCATAGGATTTTAAAAGATAAATAAAGACACATGGATGTCTAGTGATTATGTTTTGCATAGGATTTTAAAAGGTAAATAAAGACATGGATGTCTAGTGATTATCAGTTTTGCATAGGATTTTAAAAGATAAATAAAGACACATGGATGTCTAGTGATTATGTTTTGCATAGGATTTTAAAAGGTAAAAAAAGACATGGATGTCTAGTGATTATCAGTTTTGCATAGGATTTTAAGAAGTGCAGGGATCAGAAAAAGAAGACATTTACAGCTGAGCAGAAAAAGAGAATATTTACAGCTGAGCAGATTGAATTGGGTATGGAGCCACTTTAATGTCTAAAAACATGATACAAAGTCATTGAATGCTTATTTGCTACCCATCATCTGCCATTTAATCTTGTTCACTCCTCTTGTGTACACTGCTCTGGTGGCCTAGTGGTTAGAGTGTCCACCTCGGATGCGGGAGGTTGTGGGTTCGATCCCTGGTCAAGTCATAAAAAAGACTTACAAAAATGATACTAATAGCTGCCTCGCTTGATGCTCAGCATTAAGAGGTTAGTGTTAAGACTGGTTGGCCTGGTGTAAGGATAATGTGACTGGGTGGGACATCATGCTACATGTCTGCAGCATAATGCCCCAGTGCGAGACATCACTATACACTGCCGCACTGCAGACATCATAGAGATTGACTGACAAATTGTTAAAGCTATGTTAAAAATCATAATCGGATCACATCACCTCTTGTTTGCATGATTCTCCATCCTATGGAGGTAATTGTTGGAGGACATCCCCCTTGGAAGAAAGCTTCTGGCAACATCTGTGTATCTTTTTACACTATTGTGACAGCATTAGACCCATATCTGCCATTGCAACAGATCAATCTATGCTTTTAAATGAGTATCACAATCATGCATGTAAAATGCTGACACTGTTCACTGAAATCACAACCTTTATGAAGTTCTGCCTACACTATTCACTTAAAATCACATCCTTGTATAAGATGTCACTTACCCCAGTAATATCACAACCTTGTATAATGTCACTTTCCCCAGTAATATCATAACCTTGTATAATGTCACGGCAGTAATATCACAACCTTGTATAAGATGTCACTTACCCCAGTAATATCACAACCTTGCATTAGATGTCACTTACCCCAGTAATATCACAACCTTGCATTAGATGTCACTTACCCCAGTAATATCACAACCTTGCATTAGATGTCACGTACCCCAGTAATATCACAACCTTTTATAAGATGTCACTTACCCCAGTAATATCACAACCTTGTATAAGATGTCACTTACCCCAGTAATATCACAACCTTTTATAAGTTATCACTTACCCCAGTAATATCACAACCTTGTATAATGTCACCCCAGTAATATCACAACCTTGTATAAGATGTCACTTACCCCAGTAATATCACAGCCTTGCATTAGATGTCAATTACCCCAGTAATATCACAACCTTTTATAAGATATCACTTACCCCAGTAATATCACAACCTTGTATAATGTCACTTACCCCAGTAATATCACAAAATTTTATAAAATGTCACTTACCCCAGAAATATCACAACATTGCATTAGATCAGTTAATAATGTTCACAGAATAGTACAAAAGAGTGAGCTGGATCTGTTGACTTATACAATGACAGCTCATGCAAATTGTCACATTTTATTAACAAGAAAACGTTTTTATGCTTCTCTGTAGATGGACACTCTTCAGTTTGGGAGAACAGTTTTAGTCTGTTCAGGAGGACTGATCCTGTGGCCTAGTGGTTAGAGTGTTAGCCTCTGATGCGGGATGTCACGGGTTTGAACCCTGGCCAGGTCATACCAAAGATTTTTAAAAATGGTACAAGCAGATGCCTCACTTGGCACTTAGCATCAAGAGGTTAGTGTTAGGACTGGTTGGCCTGGTGTCAGGATAGTGTGACTGGTTGGGACATCATGCAAAATGTCTGCGGCATGATGCCACAGTGCTAGACATCACTATAAATTGCCACATTGCAGACATTGTAGTGATATGTCAAATTGTTAAAGCTACATTAAAAATCTGAATCACACAAATCACAGTCTGTTCAGGTACTGGATGGTTTTGTCATTGTATTGGTTGAACTTTTTACATTATTAGCTATATCATGCAAAGGAACTTGGAACTAAAGTGACTTTCCCAAATAAAACCTTGACCAGTTAACCTGGGCTGGCCTAGACAAGTAATTAAACCTTGACCAGTCAACCTAGGTTGGCATAGGTGGTAATAAAACCATAACCAGTCAACCTGGGCTGGCATAGGTGGGTAATAAAAGAATGACCAGTCAATCTGGGCTGACATAGGTGGTAATAAAACAAGTCAACCTGGGTCAGCCAAGGTTGGTAATAAAACCTTGACCAGTCAACCTGGGCTGGCCTAGGAAGGTAATAAAACCCTGACCCTTTCATTAAATGTCAGGAACTATACTGAGCTACCAGTTACCCTGGTAACAGAGGTTTTGTCATATTGTACTTGAATCAAATGTACCATGTAAAATGTGTGAGTGGGAATAATTGCTGGTTACAGTTAATCACTTTTTGCACTGAATTTATATAATTTTTTCGACACAAAATCCTAGAAAACACAAAGCTTCCGTCTCTTGTTAATAATAACCATATTTATTGCATATGCATATCTCCAATTTACAAGCATTTGATTAAAAAGAATTACAGTAAATGGAAAAGTCATAAACAATGGTACATTAGCATAAACAATTGGGTCTCTGTCCTGTTATAAAGGCACATAACACATGCCAAGGGAGATAACTTTTTTTATTTGAAAAGACTCCCAATCCTACAAGGAATTGGTCTATAAATTAACACTGAAAACCCCCAAAATAATTTGCAGGCAGAAATTCTGTATTTTCTACATCTTCTGTAGTATTAAGTTTATTTTACCATAAAAATGGAAGGAGGAAAACTGCTACATTAAAGTTCATGTTTTCTAAAAATATAGTTGTTGATAGAATATGCAGTGAAGATTGGGGGAAGAAAAAAAATAGCAGAATTCAGTTTTTCTATACCTTCACAATTTTTCTATTAACCTTTGTATTAGCTAATCAGTAATTAGAATAGGTTTAAAAAAATTAAGTAAATTTGAATATTTTACAGTACAAAAAAAAAAAGACTTTCAAAGTTCCAGAAATTATGTAGATAATGGCAAGTATATAAATAAAACCAGGCATTAAGTATACAAGATTCGTCATGTTTAAGTTAGGGTATAAATACATTGCTATTGCAATGAATTTATTTTTGTGGGAATCTGTTTTCATTAAATTTTCAAATTAAATTAATTATTAGGACTTAAGTTTATGTCATGCATCTGATAGACACAGAATTTGTAGCAAATTTGTTCTTTGTGGTGACCACAAAATTGTTGCATTATTGTATCCCATAATAGACCTGAATTTGTGTTATCTATTTACGTTCATGTATGAAAGTCAGCCTATTTGAACCAAATTCGACTTTATTTTGTATCAATATTAAATGTACATGTGCGTAGGTACTTTTTATCAGTTACATGTACAAGGATCAACCAGTAATTTGTCACTTCTGTTGCCAAACATGCTAGTCAGATAAGCACAGAAAAAAAAAAATTTGTTGGTTTTAACCACTTCCATTGGCTATTAAATGACATAAAGATTGGAGCTATTTTCCATTCCCAGATAGAGGCAGCTGATCCAGTCAGCCCTGGTGTTCAAACCTTTGATCTTTGGATGAGAGCTGTGCTGTACCAACTAACAACCTTGACTTACTACACAATAAATTTAAATAATTTATATTAGAACATGAGATATTGTATGTGTGTGTGCGTGTGTGTGTATTTTTGATGTAGCTTTGGCAGTCGTAAGATAGTTATATATATATATATATATATATATATATATATATATATATATATATATATATATATATATATATATATATATATATATTACTATGAACATGGAAACTGTACTCCTCACACTTTAAATAGGATATTTATCACAAATGTAAAAAATTTTATTATGCACTGTGCCGTATCAATGTTTTAAGCTCTGGAAATATAATGTGGTCAAGATTTTATTATTAAATAAAAATTTACATTAAATTAGCATTCTGGGAGACCAAATATACTTTTCTCCAAGAACTGGAGCATGTGAATTGTGTTTTCGAAGATTAGTCTTTACATTTGCCTTCAAAAATGGAATAGGCAGACATTTTTTGTGATCTAATGTATGTCCTATGAGATAGTTGTGTCCTTCATATGTGCTAGTCATGTAGGTCTTTAACACTGAGCTTTCTTGTTGTGTGAATGGATTAATTTGATTTTCATTAAATTGATTTTCATGGTAAAAGTATGGAGATCTAGATGAGTTAAAATAATGAAAATTACAATAGTTTATTATGAAATATAAAGAATAGGCTTTTCTTGTAGTTTGATAGGTCATAATTAATTAGTTAATATTATTTATTGCTGCAAGTATGCATCATAACGCCATCATTGGAGGCACATATAATATACATCCTTACAATGAGACCACTTATAATGAATTAGATGATACACTACTTTCTCATTATAACGTGGTCATGGAGTATACCACCTTATAGTGACACTACCTTAGTATAAAGTACATTGATAAGTCCTTCCTCTTCACAATGCTGTCCATTGGAGCCATAGCGTATACTGCCTTATAGTGAAGCTACTTTATAATAATGTTTAGGTATATAAAACCTTCCTCATTATGATGCATCTATTGGAGCCAAAGTATGCTTCCTTATGAAGTAAATAGATATCCCTCATTATAATGCCATCAATTAGAGCCAGAGTATACCACCTTATAGTGAGACTTTCTTATAGTAAAGTTTATAAGACCGCCATCATTATGACACCATTCATTGGAGCTATAAATTATGCTGCATTATGGTGAGGCTACATTATAATAAAATGTACAATAAGTCATCCTTCATTATAATACATCCATTGGAGACGTAGAGTATTCCCCTTATAGTTAGACCACCTTATAATGAAGTATATGATACAGTCAACTATTATTAAAATGCTATTGATAGGAAGCACAGAGAATACTGCCTTATAATGAAGTACATTATACATATAATTTTGCTAAGAACTTTATGAATTATGAACCATGACTATGCTCTTGTTATAACGAACTGTGTTACAATGAAGGTCTATTATAACATAAACTGTGTTACAATGAAGGCCTATTATAACATAAACTGTGTTACAATGAAGGCCTATTATAACAAACTGTTACAATGAAGGCCTATTATAACATAAACTGTGTTATAATGAAGGCCTATTATAACATAAATTGTGTTACAATTAAGGCCTATTATAACATAAACTGTGTTACAATGAAGGCCTATTATAACATAAACTGTGTTACAATGAAGGCCTAACTGTGAGGAAGTGATGTATCCATGTTATAAAGGATGTTTTTGAGAAGGTATGCAGATATTTTAATGTACCTTAAAGATCACCTGTAATTTACAATCACCTGTCTTAAAGTCTTACAGACCATTTTAATGTACAGGTAAATATCAGTTAAGCAGGTATCTGTTTTAGGGGGCCATGTGCAAGAGCTGTTAAAAGCATGTCTGTTGGTCTTTGTTTGCTAGCTTCTATGTGTAAACTTAATTTCTACTAAAATGGTGTTACATGAAATATGATTGTGCTACATGAAATATAGTAATGTTACATGAAATATGATTGTGTTACATAAAATATGGTAGTGTTATGTGACATGATTTGTCTTATACGAAATATGATAGTGTTACATTAAAATGATACTGTTACGTGAAATATGATTGTGTTACGTAAAATATGAGTGTTACATTAAATGTCATTGCTAAATGAAATATAGTAATGTTGCATGAAATATGATCGTGTTATCTGAAATATTATAGTATTATATGAAATAAATAGTGTACCAAATATACTACCTTACAGATTTGGTTTCTTTTTGAGTCTGTCTTTTATCTTTTTTCTTAGATTATTAAGGGGAAAAAAATGTTATATATAAATACACATGGAAACTTGTGTTTTTCAAAGGGCTAATTAGAAGCTTTGGTCATCCTAGTGGATGTGTCTGGAGAAATTAATATCAGAATTATATTTCAGTTTTGTTTATGTTTGTTTGTTATGATGTTTTTGTCTAGATTAATATGTTGTTGTTTTTGTTTTTTAATGGGGTTTAACAACATTTTTCAGCACAAGATAGGCTATACATGGCAGCTAATATAGATGGTGGAGGAAGAACCCCAGAAAATCCAGGAAAGAACCACCGACCCACAATAAGCTACTAACAGACTTTCTCATGTACCCATATTGGCAGAGCCTGAGCCTGGAACCGATGCAGACAGAGGTGAAATGGCAGAGATCCGTAATTTTAGATTACTCATCCACTCAGGCCTTCTAGATTAATGTTCTGCTAGGTTGTTGTTGTTGGGTTTAACGCCATTTTTCATCACACCCACCCAGTCACAATATCCTGACACCAGGTCGACCATTCCTAACATTAACATCTTAATACTGAGAAGTCTTTGGTATGACTGCTGGGGTTTGAACCAGCAACCTAAGGCATCTGAGGCAGATGCTCTAACCACTTAGGCCACAGGAACAGTAGATAGTTGAAGTATCTGTTGTAGAATTAATCTAAATAATCTAAAGCATTCTGTGTAACAAGCGTAATCAAAGACCTATTACAAAAATCAAAAGTATTTCATTTAACTGTTTTCTGGTATAAAGTTAATCATGGTTGAGTTCAAGTAATCTAATGCATAACAGTATATGCTGAAC